TGCATGGTTGCTAACACTTTGCGCTCCACGGTACCGGGATGGAAGCACCATGAATGCCAAGAGCCCAATAAGCTTCAAAAATTTTCCTTAAATCTTTGGCTAAGCAGCTGCAGTTGTAGACAGCAGTGCCGAGCTCCTTCACCTGCGACGAGCAGCACGGTGGCACTGTCACATCACTGGACGGTGCCATCGTTCCTCTCCAATGCCCTAAGTCCCATCTTATGGCACTGAGCATCCCTTGATGGGGATGGGGCATTGGTTTTGGGAAAGCCCTGGTGCCATCTGGCACAGGTTCAGCACCATCCAGTGGTATGATGGTGCTGCCATGCTGCTCACCTGGGTCAAAGACCTCCAGTCCATGTTGGCACTCCCAACATAGAGGTGGGTGCCATCAACGAGCCAAAACTTGGTGTGCAGCACGCCGCCAGTGAGCCGTGGCATATCAACGGTGCGCACCACGGCACCTGCATGACCACAAGTTGGGCATCTCCCACTCAAAATCCCCCTCAAAAAAAGAATTTTGGGGTTTTTCCATCACTCACCGCTCTGCTCCAACGCTTGGAGGTCGTTCAGGGGTGATTTTGCTGACGGGCGGCTGACGGCAATTCGGACGGCAACACCGCGCTGGGATAATTGGAGAAGTTCCTTCAGGATTTGTTCACCCTGAATCACCATGTGGTTTGAGGCCAAAAAAAGCAGAAATGATTAAAAATTATGGGAAAGCAAGAAAATGGCAGCCGGCGCTGGGTTCAAGCACCGGAATTGGAGCTCTGCCGCCCGTGCCGGATGCCGGCAGCGCGGACCTGGGCAGCAGAGGGTTCATGTGTCCGTGTGTCCTCATTGGTCATGGTCCAGTAGAAGGAGGCAATGTCCAGGCTGTGGGTGACAGTCCCCAAGAGGTTCATCCATGTGGAGAAGGTGGAGGGATTCAGCACAGAACCATCCCTGAAGGTCATTCCCTCTGGGATGCTCTCCACCAGGACGATCCTATGGTGGAAATTCAGTGGTGCCGGCACCGGTGAGATTGTAGCGCCAGGATGCCGAGGGTCTCGGGCGAGCGTCACCCCCCCATAAGCTCATCTTACCGGCACGCGTCACTGCAGGATCCGGTATTGCTGCCAGCATCACCACCGGCATCACTGCGGAGGGCTGAGCTTAGCCGGAGATTGAAGAGGAAGAGGAAGATGAGGATGAAGAGGGTGAGGACGGCAGAGAGCAACATGCCACGGGAGCACTGGAAGGGAGAGGGGGCATCAGTGCCCCGAAATTAAGGAATAAGTTAATTTATAGGGTTTAAAACCACCCCCAACACCACTGGGATCCAGCAAGAGATGGCACTGGATCCAGCCAGCACCAAAGCCAGCCCCTGTAGACCGGGGGAGTTACCTTCAGTGGGAAGCAGGTGGGCTGCACCCCACGGTCCTCCAGTGGGCCCAGCTGTGATGGGAGGCAGAGAATTGGGGAAGGGACCCAGAACCAGGGTGGTGGCTAGTTTGGGGGTAAAACCCACCCGAAAATGCCCAGAGTTCCCAGGGAAAAGTGCCCCCCACCCATGTTGCCAAGGGTCCCCACGGGGTGCAGGGTCTGGGTGGAAATGGGGGACATGAGGCACCCCAGTTTGGAGTTGTAGGATGCTGGGCAGGGGGCTATGGGGTACGCTGGCTTGGAGTTGTAGGGTGCTAGGTTGGGGGCGGTGGGGCACACCACTTTGGGGTTGTAGGGTGCTGGGGCAGGGCAGGGGCCTATGGGGCACCCCAATTTGGGATTTTAGGGTGCCAGGACGAGGCAGAGAGCTATGGGGTGCCCCAGTTTGGGGTTGTAGGGTGCCAGGATGGGGCAGGGAGCTCCATGACCCCCAGTTTGGGGTCTCGGGGTGCCGCCAGCACCATACCTGCTTGTAGGTGCCGTCCGGCTTCATCCTGGTGCGACACTGGAACAGAACAAACCCGATTTCTCCCGACGTGCCCAGACAGGCGAGAACCCCCTGGGGTGTGGCACAGACGGGATTTTTGGGGTAGGGATAAGGGGAGAGTCCCCAAAAAACCTGGGAGGGGCAGAGGCCTTCCCGGCTGACTCATGGGATCAGGGTGCTCACGTGCCCTGACCAGTTTGGGGTGGGAAGGGGAAGTGCCTGGTCCTCCCCCCGCCGCCATTGGGGCTGAGCCCTTGGGAACAGGGTGGGGCACCCCAAGTTTGGGATGCAGACCTCCCCCGACCCCACTGGGACCTCTCCCCTGTGCCCCGGGGACACCAGAAAAAGGGGGTGCTCAGCCCCAGGGATCATCCCCCCAACCCTGCCCTGTTTTGTGGGAGGGGGTTCAGCTCGGTCTGGCGTCACCCCCCCGGCTCAGCTGAACTTGGGAGGGTCAGGACTGTGTTTCGGGGTTAAGATGATGTTTAGGGCCAGGGCCAGGGTCAGGGCCGAGTTTAGGACCAGGTTTAAGGCCAGGGACACGTTTAGGGCCGGGTGTAGGGCCAGGGCCGCGTTCAAGGCCGCGGCTCCCGGCGGTGCCCGGTGCCCCCCGTACCCCCGTACCGGAGACACCGGTGTCCGCGGGGGCGGCTGCTCCCGGAGCCGCCCGTGGGGTGGGGGGGCGCCCTCAGTCCTCCAGTACTCTATGGTCGCCCCTCCCTTTCCCCCCCCGCTTCCCGCGCCCCCGCTGCCTAGAGCGGCCCC